GATTAAACATTCTGTAGAACGAAGATAAACTTAGATTTGCAGTATGAAGCGAATCAACAATTGCTCTTCGTTACTGTAGGATCACGGTATAAACATTCAGCATACAGCGTCGTTGTGGAATAAGTCTTTTGATGAAATAATTTCGAAAAAATCTAAAAATTTGTGTAGCAAGGTTTTCGGGCGCACAGATTTCAATACATGACTTTCCACCAGTTTTTCGAGCTTTCTTGATGGCTTATTCACATTTCTGATAAACATTGGAAAATCAGTTGTCACCCTAAATCTGAAATAACTCATGAAAGAAACAGTGTGCTACCAACGTTGATACCTAGTTCAAGAGTTTCTGGCTTGTTTGGCTTTCTTTCCGAGGCAGATTATGGCCTCCAATGGCCTAAAATCTTTGTCGAAGTTCCTACCGTAATCCTACAGTAATGAAGAGCGGCTGTTGATTCGCTCCATACTGTAAATCTAACAAGGGAAGGATACTCGGTCGAAGTGGCCATTTGGAATGAGTTATATATTAGGAAACCGTCCTCCGTAAGGCAAACTCAAAACTACTTTCGCTAGGTGCCGAGCGGTTTTGTGGGGGGAGTTACAAGGCCATTTTCCTCCGGCGCAGCCAGCGCACCCAGTGATGAGCGAGGCGCTAGAATACTGCAGCAGTGTGGCAGTGGCGCAGTGGCAACGCATCGGACTACGAAGCAGATGGTCGAGGGTTCGAGTCCGGTTGCTGCTATTTTGTTTTGCAGTTCTGTAAAAAGTCTTTTAGGTGACAGCAAACGAGAAATACTAATTCTAGGCAGTCGAAACAAGCTAGTTACTGCAAAAAGCCACTATTTCTGCAATAAGCTATAATCTTCTAAAATATGTAAATCTGTGGAGGTTATGATGTCACAACGAGGGATTCAAGTGATATATTAACATGTATGGAATACAACCACAAAATGCTGAAAGTAGAAGAGCTTCTCGCAGCGCGCACATCGGATAAAATAAAACGATGACAAGCAGCTTCACAATTGCCTATCAAAGTCGGTGAAAAACAGTACTGAATAGGAGACTCGAATTCGCCGGGGTGGTTGTCAATGTATCCGGCTGCATCCATGGGTTATGAAAGCAAATTTCTGAATCGCGGCGAGCAAAATTGTATGTAAATGAGCGATAAGATCTTAAGGATGGAATCCCTATGATGCAAGGTAAAGTTCAGATCAAGAGCCAATAAATGGGATGTGAATCGATTGCAATTTTGCAAGTGCGCGCGTTGCGAGAAGCTCTTCTGCTTTGAGCATTTTGTGGTTGTAGTCCATACATGCTAATATATCATTTGAACCTATTGTGTTGACATCATAACCTCCACAGATTTACATATTATAAAAGATTACGGCTTATTGTAGAAATAGTGACTTTTTTGCAGTAAATAGCTTGTTTGAACTGCTTAGAAATAGTATTTCTCGTTTGCTGTCACCCAATAGACTTTTTACAGAACTGCAAAACAAAATAGCAGCAACAGGACTCGAACCCTCGACCATCTGCTTCGTAGTCCGCTTCGTTGCCACTGCACCACTGCCACACTGCTGCGGTATTCTAGCGCCTCGATCATCACTGGGTGCGCTGGCTGCGCCGGAGGGAAATGGCCTTGTAACTCCCCCCAGAAAACCGCTCGGCACCTAGCGAAAGTAGTTTTGAGTTTGCCTTACGGAGGACGGTTTCCTAATATACAGCTCATTCCAAATGGCCACTTCGACCGAGTATCCTTCCCTTGTAAGTTGAACCTCGCTCTAAACTCTCGGCAAAAGACATGAAAGCATGAAAGTTATTAACAATCAAACAGTGTGCATATCTTTTTGGGACACCCTGTACATCATCACTACTGCATTGTACTACCTTTTTTGCATAGCTTTGCTGATAGGAGAAACACTCAGTAACATAATCGGCATGACAATGAAAATTTTTACCGGGAAAAGGGAAAAGGAAACTTGCAGAACCAGCATAACCGGAGTATTGAAGCTTCATTCGTAAACAAGAAGCATGGTTGTGCCTGGTCAAAAACTCATCTTTAGTTGCAAATGTAAAAATTCGATGGCGGTCTGAGATTGACTTACGGATCATTACGTAAAGGAAATTGCATTTTTCACGCGAGCGACTAAGTTAAGCGTTATTGACAGCAAATGGTGCCCACATATGGGCTCCTGCACAGAAAAAAATGCGTGTAATAAACGATTTCACCTTATTACCAGAACTGCGCCAAGGAAATCAGTATCCAAGCAGGACAGGGTGCTTGGAATCATGCGGTGGGTTGGGCTGCGATTGTTTTTATCCAAGTTCTAGATGTTTATTTTATCGCGTTTATGCCATCCCACAAAATTCCGAAATATACGAAGTCTTTTGTTGTGCGCAATGGAAAGAAGAACTCAGACTAAGGAAAAGAAAATTCGTAATTTCAACTGTTCCAAACGTCTCAGTAACACTTCCTATGGTGAAAATTACGTTAATCGTTTGCACCATACCAGCTACACCGCTCACTATCTATTCGTAACTAATGGTGCAGAGACAGCGCTATGGCCAAAAGAAGTTGAACCAAACTTACGCTGCGAAACTAGAGAAAAAGCTATCGCCTTAAACTGCTCATTTATTGATAACTGCAGATGCGAGGGCGCAGAAAATAAGGTCAACTGTCAATGCTTAGAACCTCAAATCCAGAAAGAATTTGAAAATTTGCAATCCAAACTAATACCACTGAAAAGTCCATACTGGGAATTGTCAATTCGAAAAAAAAACAACTCACTGTGCATGTTCCGCACATGGTCACCGCAGAATTTATTGTTAACTTTGAAAACACCTTCGAATCCGCGCTTGTAGAGGTTGACAATATCTGTGTTATTAACGATTCTCACCCGCGAGGATGCTACAATTGTGCAAATGGAGCAGATGCGCGCGTAGAGTGCAAATCAGAAGCACCGACAATAGGAGAAGTACTCTATCAACAAAATGCATTCGAAGTGTCGTGCGCACCCTCAGCGCCGCAATCAACACTGCGCTTTCATTTTGAAGCGCTAGACAGAATCTAAACAGCACAATGAAATGCGGCACGAACTCGCACGCATTTACGATTTCTGGCATTTTAAAGTACGTAGAAACGTTACATAACGTTGTGCTAACGAAACTGAAAGGAAATAGCACAATTTACAACGAAATCGCATGGCCCGATTTTGCGCATGTAGCAGAATTTTTATTGAATTGGTATATAAAACCCTTCTCATTGCAGTCGCAGGCGCTTTTTTCGGCGCGTATTTTTGTCTCCGGACATTTGGCTGGCGTGTACTCGTTTCTCTGCTAAAAATGGCATTTTCACTTACAGTTATCCCCTTACGATTGGGCTGCTATGCTGTACGCATGGTCATTAAGCGATGAGCAAAATGAAAAGAGGAACTGAAAATCATATCAAAAACATTTAGCATAATGTAACGCTTATTTTTTATCTGATTAGTGCATATATCATCGCTAAAAACAAAACAAAAGAAAACAAGAAAAAAATTATTTTTTAGGTACAATGAAGAAGCTCGAAAAACTCCGAAGCGAAATTCGAACAATACAAAGCGCAATTTGCCATCAGCAGGCAACCTTGGACTATGTGTAACAAATTCTGCAAGACATGCGCGAAAAAATCGAAGAAGAAAAACAAAGTGCGCAAATCAAAACGGCGAGCTACAAGAGGCGATAAACAATTTGACGACCAGAATCGAAAGTGCGCTGAAAAATCTAGGAAATGAAACGGAACAATCAACAAACATCGATGACGTCAACGAAGAGGGGAAAGGCGCCGCCGCAAAGGTCATGCAAGAAGCAACGGTAGAAGACAACAACATATTAGAAAAGCAGGCAAACGAAGAAGAGAGGAATGGCGCCACTGCTGAATTCAAAGAAGAAGCCGTGTCAGTCGAAGAGGAGAAAAAAGATGAAGCTGCGCAGCTGGGCCACAAAGCAAAACCATTTAAAGAAATCAGGATTTTATAGTATTGGAAGAAATGGAAGACGCATCCTTATTTTATGAAGTGAATGAGCCCAAAGAAACAGCAAGAAGCGGAAATTTTGGAAGAGTCGATCAGGGAGGAACATGAGAGGGAAGAAGAGCTTCTGATACCAGAAGAAGCGCGCCTGCACGACGGAGAGCTCTTCGTTCCTGTTCTGGAACTTGAGCTGGATCAAAACCGGCAGGCTATTGCGGATTTGAATTTGATGATCGAAGATCTGGAGAATCAGAAAAAGTGCTGGCCTCGCAGCTATCATAGGAAGATCCAAAAGACCTTCGAGAGAAATATCGTGCGCATTCTGCAATGAAGTCGGGGACCACTACTCCGACTCTTGTTCTGATATCCCTGCAGGAAGGGAAAGGCGAGAAGTCCTGGAAATAAAGAGGAGATGCGCAACCTGCTTGGAGTGGGAGGAGCCCTCTGCAAGAAAGCTTATAACAGGTGTTCCCACTGTCTTGAAACAGGGCATTACCCTGTGCCCATTACCCATTGCCCTGTGCAAGCTGCCAGACACGAGCCAGGACATCTTCCAACGACTGGAGCAAGCAAAACAGTCGAGGGAACGTCACTTCCAGCGCATTGTTCTAATTTAAATGGAACTTCAGGAACTCCATCAAGTCCCACTTCCTTAGGCCGGGTAGTATCGTCGCCATCGAACTACGGTAGCGAAGAAGCCGCGCCGATGTCTTGAGAAAATCAACTTTGTGTAATAAACGATTTGCGCTATTGGTGTTGGTCTGTGGTTGTGGTGACGAACCGATCCATTCTTGCGTGGCAATTTTGAGCATACAAGAATCACTTCTTGAAATATCAACATCAATAACAATAACAATCAATACAACAACATCAATATCACAATAACAACGCAGTTGCTATATCCTGTCACAACTGTACTTATTCTACTGCCATCGAAAATTTAAAAAAAATCTGTTTGTTGTTCGCTAAGGTAGGTAATGCTAAAGTAAATTTCAGCAACGCGGAGAACCGGTGTAGGATCATTGACGTCTTCGACTCTTTGCGCGAATCATTCATCGCAGGATACAGAAAAAGTTCCCAGGACAAAATCAACGTTCCGAATTGTTTATTTAAGAAGCTTCGTAAGTATTAATCGCATAAAAATCTCCTTCTGTTTGCTTTTCTTGGCAAGTCTAGCCATCCTTGGCAGCGCTGTAGACTAGTGTGAGTGAGCGCTCTCCCACGTCGCAGCAATATCGTGGAATAACTTTCGAAAACTACTGCAAATCTAAATTTTTCAAAAATGTATGTGTTTATTTGAATAACACATTCTCTCTCGCATTTCACCACTAAATATGCAAATGCCCACACCCCCTGCAAAAGTTTATTTTCGATGCAACAAAATAGTTTCATACGATTTCTCTGGCGTAGACAGCTTCGTTCATTAACGTGGCAAGTCTCCAAAATTACTGCTTCGAAGTAACGGCTTTATCAATTTTTCATGATGAGGTTGGGGAGCTCCATTCAATCTAAGTGGCCTTTTTTTGTAAATCCTGTATTTCAAGAGCAATTGAACGTGTCTTCATTATCTGCCAAACGCTTCTGGACGTCGAGTTATGAGCTTGGGGTTGAAAAATCGAGTGCGCAACTCAGACAAAATTTGTCCAGAATTACTCATAGTTCAGTGTTAATTATCAAAGCACTTCATTCAAAGGTAACTTTTGCCTAATACACTCATACTCAACATTGCTCTACTTAAGCGCTGAAAAAACCGTAAAGATTAATTTTACCCACATTCTGAGTTCATTTTTTGCTTTAAAAAACACTCGTAGCTCGACGACCAGAGGAGCTTGGCAGATAATTAAAATTTGAGATCTGCGTTCAATGCTCTTCAAAGCGGTATGGGACACATTTGAAATGGCCACTTTGACTAAACGGACCTTCCGTGTGAGATTTAAAACATTTTTACGAGTCTGGAGCCCTCTTTCAAACTTGATATACTTTAGAACCTTTAAAGAGTGGATGTTCTCTCCCACAACTATTTCCTTGTTTATCTTCTGGGACTGAACACTGATAATACTAGGATAACAGTGATAATTATTGACAGCATTAGTAAAGGGGTTTAGGCACGCAAAGGAGAAAAAGTTTGTGCTTGCTGTCGTGCCAAGAAAAGAGAACATTTTTGGACGAATAATTTGCAATAAGCATAAAGATAGGCTAAAAACCTTCAGATTCTGCCGTCTGAGCAGGAATGTGCTTCTTTGTGTAATATAGACAAGTTTTCAATTATAATAGAAAACTAAAATCACCTATGTCGCACATATATCATTATTACAAACATTGGTCTCTTAGAAATTAGAACAACAAAACTTATCACTCCGCACGCCTCGCACTGACGCATTGTTTTGCAAGCGTTGCTGCTTTTTTCATTACATATCCTAAGCAGACACTGTCGGCACAGCTCTATGGAATCATTTCAGAAGAACAAATTTGGGCGCGTGCAACCTAGGGCCGCATGCATTGACATCCCGCCGGGAAGGGGATTGCAGCTCTAGAAAAAGCTTCATATTTTAAAGCTCCAGATATCTGGATTTTACACTGTCTACCTATCCGCAAGTACTCCCACCATTCTTTACTAAAAACATCTTAGAAGGGAGTAAGAAACTGTATTTTCCAGTTTTTTTGTTTAATCCCCTGATGATCTCTGGCTGCCGACGGTCTTTTCTCTGAACTGATTTTCTTTCAATAAAAACATTCCTATGCTAATTATCTAATCCAACATTGCTTATCACGTTGCTGGTAGGAACAACTGATGTTTCGAAGCGATGAAATTTGCGATGAACCACAAGTCGAAAGGGGGTTTATCGAAGAAATCGATACTCCAAAAACTTATTTTTCCTTATTAACACCATGCTTAGCACTGTTGGTTCAGATAATCAGCACAACCTTGGAAGGTTTTCGTAAACTTTGAAGGAAGAAAAATGACTTTGAAGAAAAGACGTTCGGCCGCGGAGGATCATCAGAGGAACATACAAAAGGCTGGAAAATGCGACTTATACAGCTTCTTGTTCCTTCAATATGTTCATAGTGAAGGTTGGTAGGTATACTCATGGATAGGTAGACACGTGAAATCCAGATAGCTCTGGAGCTTCAGAATATGAAGCTTTCTTCTAAAGCTGCTCCCCTTCCCGGCGTGGAGTTGATCACGCGGTCCTTGAATTTCCTGGACTGTGAAGAAATTTTCTGTGAAACTCAAAAAGACCCCTGCAAAGCTGCGCGATACTAGTGCAGCTCTGGTTCGGAACATATTGATTCTAGTTATTTTATGGAGCTTACCCCTTGAGGGCATGCACCGAACGCACACTTCAGTGTCGAAGAGGCTACTGAATGCGTGCAAGCCTAAAACAGTGAGAACGCCAACCGGTTAAAAAGCATGCTTTTATCGGTATTGTTCCTTGTTCCGGGCCCATTTTTCAAAAAGGGTAATGTTCCTTTTTTCCAATTTTGATCATAATTTCAAGAAAGGAGTTCCAGCCACCTGCCTGCGAAAAAACTTTACGTGTCATTTACAGGTTCGATAGATTTTACGAAGAGCTTATTCAGCTTACCTGCTAGTGTATTAAGCTGTGTAATAAGTCCTGTCCCATTTTCCTTTCAATTTTTTGTCAATAATGTTTACCTTAATAGAGTGTTATGTGAAATCCCTAAGTCTGTCCCGCAAATTGGTGTGCCTTCATTCTTCAACTTACCGGGATATTGAAAGATTAATAGCATACTTACTACTTACAAGGGAGGTATTTCAGTGGCAGTGGTCTTTTTATATGAGATGCACATCATCTGAAGCAGCTTCGAACGCTGATTTTAAATCTGCTTTCCGTTTCTGCGGAAAGCCCTCTTGAAGAGAGTTATGAAAACCTGAAAATCCTATTTTTGGGGGACTCCTTGAGTTCAAGAGCGCTGCTATGTGCGATGGTGGTGCAGTGGTGTAATGGTTAGTTGTTGGCATTGAAGGGAAAAGGTCAATGATTCGAATCCGTTGCAGAGCGAACCATTTTGCACCATGAATGTAAGTTTACCACTCTAATTCGTCTGCAGACACTTACTGTAATGCCCTTGGCAAATGTGACCTAAGCACGAAATTTTCTGGCATAACTGCTTGTTAATGAGACCCTGTTAATGAGCTCTACTTAACTTCCTTACTAGTACAACAGCATTAAACATGGGGAAGCTGTTCATCACCATTTAAAGCTCAGTACCCCCACAATGGTCGGCAGCCTCATCGTGGCGTGGGGTGACACTGGTTGTCGAAGTGCGATGCACAGCCGAGGGTATACTCTGGTAGGGCCTCCGAAGCTGTGAAGGAGTTCAACGAGAGCCGGCCAGGCCAGATCCTCCGCCGTCTGACTTTTTCAGGTCGCTAGGCGGTCGCTCCCTCTCCATATTCGGGGCAGCGATCGCCCAGTGGAATGAGTTGGCCTAGTAAGTCTGCTCTTGTAGAGGAAAAATTTTTATTACTCGTTCAGCAAAGAGAATAGAAATAAATACTGCACATCGGATTCCGCCTACGTCGCCGGATGGTAGCAAAAACGATGTCAGGGTACTCAGGGCGCCTTTCGGATTGGACAAAAATGACACGTCTGCGCGGACGACACGCCATGGAGGCTGTTTCATGCTCTACACCTACAACGCCAGGACAGTCTCCACAAACGCCGACCTCCACGCTCTTCTCGAGGCTGCAGAGCACACCAAGTACCACATTATCGCTCTGCAGAAAACGAAGTCCAGGAAGAAGGACGTGCGACAGATGAGTGATGGGACCCTCATCATTCGTGGTGAAAAGGTTCCATCACGAAACTTTGGAGGCGTTGGTTTTGTCGTCCACCCATCTATCGTCCATCTTGCCGATTCGCATGAATCCTGTCACGTCGACTAGCTTTCCTACGACCACGACCTCCACGTCAGAAAACCATCAGCAACTGCTACTCACCAACATCAGCAGCTGAGACTCAGAATTAGATGCTTTCTACGAAGACGTGGAGCAGGTCGTCCGCCACGAGAAGTTTCGTTGCAGGCGACTTCAACGCGAAGATCGCGATGCCACTAGATGAGGAATTTAGGATCGAGAAGTTTGTATATGGGCTCCGGAACGAAAATGGCAACCTTCTTGTTGGGCTTTTCTCCGCCGCTCGACATTTCCATAGAAATTCCATCATCATAAAGTGAGAACATCGCCGGTGGACTTGGGAATCGCCCAACGGAACGACTCACGCGGAGATCGACTACATTCTCACCAACCGAAGGTGGAGCTTGCTCGATGCCTCCGTAGTTTTATCCTTCTGCAGTGGCTCCGATCATCGCCTCCTTCGAGCGAAGATACGATTCAGTCAAAGCTGGAAAAAAAGGTCTATCACAGCGCCGCAAGAAGGAAGGAAGTCGTTTATGACGGTAACATGCTGGAAAAGCTCAAATCAAGTTGTGACTGGCCCACGAGGACGACCCAACTTACGACTACGACCGGCTTCTGAAAGGATTGCGAGCCTGCGAAGAGTGCGCCTCAGTGGCTTCTGAGAAGAACTTGGATCATATGTTAGTGATTGTTATATGATATTATGCCAGTGCCAGGTTTGTACGGTGGAATTCTTTATTGGCCTTACGTTTCGACAATTTCGTCTTCGTCGGAGGCCTGGAAGTAGATTGTAGCGTTATATCTGCGAAACCAGACCGTCAAACGCCTCTCCGCACTGCCGAGTGTAGACCTCGTCCCGCACTCAGCGTACTGAGACATGTTGATCAGAAAACGAACCTTTATCCACCGTAGTGTTAGTGAGAGTCAGTAGAGTCAGTACTTAGCCGCACCGAAGAGACAGACGACACTGAGTGCTGTCCTATAATCGTCACTTATATATGTGCAGACTATCGCTCACAGATCGTTAAGATAGGCAAGAGTTCGGTTGTTATCGACACGCATTCATTTCTGTTATTCATGCTAGGATTTCTGAGAGAAATCCACGCTGCCTCGACGGTCTTTCTTACTGTAATCTCTGTCTCGTATGACAAGATAGTGCATTTAACGCCAAATTCATCGCCATTGTGCGTCTCAACCCTATGTCTTCCTAACGGTGATAACGCATTTGCTCGTCTT